AAAAAAAATTCCTAAGATTTAAACTTGAAGAACACTTTTTTTTAAAGATTGATTTATTTATACATAAAGAAGTGGAGTACAGGTCAGAGGTGCAAGGGTGAGAGGATTCAACAGAGACAGAGTGGGGAGCAGAACAGGCAGATCCATTGAAATACACTGCAGAGGGGAGCAGCAGGTGGATTGGGAGACGTCTATGAGCCCATGTAGGTCATCTCCCTGGCCAGGGACCAGCTATCAGTGGCTCTGATAGATTCATGGTGCTGTGCTTTAAATGTTGCACCACCAGGGAGGGCCCACCGGACACCTCTTGAAAACTGTCACTCTGTCTATCATGCTCTCTAAATTTACATGCTGAATATCTTGGAATTTCCTGTCAGTCTGGGTCTCATACTTTAGAGATGCCAAGAAACCAAGACATATTCAAGAACAACCAGAATTAAGAGTTAACGTATTTTGATATAGCTAGTTGACCAACATAGATTTATCTCCGAGAAGAGAAGCTTCAAGACTGAGTCAATTTTGGTTCTGTGGAAATTTTGGTTCTGAGTGAAAATAAGCATCTTTTAATCATTCATTAGCAATCAGAAGGCACCAAAATGCAATATCACAAGATAATCTAAGTTTTGTTACCAGGATAAAAGATTTCATTTAATTACTTGATTATGTTAAAAACTTATAACTCCTCTGCAACTAATGCATTTTATTAAACAAAACGGAGTCAACTATTGTCTTTCTCTTTTTATGACTTGTAACTGTCTCAAAAATGATATAAATCATTGAAAAGGGAAACAGTCACTGAGATGCAAATCTTTCACTCTTTATAAGTCAATTTTTACCTAAAAGTTAACCTGAAAAGATGTGGGGATAGGGAAAGCCAGCAATGATTATGTAATGGGAAAAAGGTTGAGTTTTTTTTTTTTTTATGCTTGCAGGGTTATAAGTTAAAATTTACTTCAGTAAATGCCTATGATTGTTAATGATCAAGATGCCACTATAAACTATTTCTCAACACTTGAACAGAAAAAGCCAAAGAATGGGGGCAAGTTTAAGAGAGCAGACTGTGTTGGTGATGTCGTATTGGAGAGCTGTTAGGTTCAGTAAACGGGATCCTTGTGTTACCTGTGAGAAAAGTTTTGCCAGAGTTCCCAGGGTTTACCCAGGTGAATTTACCCAGGTGATGAAGACATTTGTGCAGACACAGGCAGGTGAAGGAATGCGATGTTTAAAAAGTTTAGGCCCTCCCTAAACTTGGGTTAAATTGCAGCACTGTGAAGCTAGCCACAGCCACTTAAGCATAAGTTTGATCCTCAGCCAGGGACTTGACCCACCTGGCACAGCAGAGCTCTCCTGTTTCACCTGCTGCTCCCCTCAGCAGTGTACTTTGTCATCTACCGGTTCTGCTCAGTGTCTGGTGAATCCTCTCACCACCCCTGCACCTCTGACCTGTACTGCATCCATAGGTAAATAAATTTTAAAAAACAAAAAAAGACAGCTTTATGGAAAAGCAGAAAGGAAAAGAAAGACACCTGCAGAATTACAGATCGGTGGGAAGGCTGCAGCTCATGTTTTGCAAAGGGTAAAGGTATGTGAAAAGAAACATCGTCATGGTCACAGGTGGGCAGGAGAGCCACATCTTGCCAGTACAAGAATTGTACTGATACAGTGTTCTTTTGGGGAGGGGCTCATTCCTTTGTGGAATTGCTATCTATTGTACATTAATTACTTCTAGGATACTGACACCGAAATGTCAGGTTTTTAGGCCTAGTCTCCCAGCCAGGAATGGATCCCAGGCTGCAGAGGCAGCACTGAGTCCTGGCCATTAGACCACCACAGGTTGGTGTCTCACAAAGCCGCAGCAGGATCTTCACAAACGCTTGGGCAAGAAAGCAAAGGGGCAGATTTGTTTAGAGCAAGAAAAAGTTTATTGTGGAGAAAAGGAACAGAAAAAAAAGCAGAGGGCCCTCCTGATGGTGTTGCGGGTTAAAGCACAGAACTAGGAAGCTCTCTCCAGCCACTGCAGCGCTTCGACCAAGGCCAGAGAGGTGACCCACATGGCGTGCAGACCCCTTCAGGCCCACCCACTGCTCCCCTCAGCAGTGTACATTGTCTGCCTGTTCTGCTCCCCACTCTGTCTGGTGAATCCTCTCACCCACCACACCTCTGGCCTGCACCCCAGTTCTGTATGCATAAATAAATAAATCTTTAAAAAAAAGAAAGTGGGACTCTCATACTGGTGGAACCAGACCAGGGTGGTGCAAGGAAGCCAAAGTGGAGCAGTGCCTCAGGGAATATATACCTTCTTTCCCTAATTATTCTAACACACCAGTATCTTTGTGATTGGTTAGTCCCCCATGGTCTCACTCACTGCCTAAATGTCTCTGTGCTCAGAACTAAGCCTCAGTGTCCAGCCCTTATCTTAGAGTTCTTTTTTATTTTAAAGATTTATTTATTTATGCCAACAGAGATAGAGTGCAGCGGGTGAGAAGATTCACCAGAGACAGAGCGGGGAGCAGAATAGGCAGTATACCACTAAGGGGAGCAGTGGACAGGACAGGAGAGATCCATCACACCTTGTGGGTCACCTCCTTGGTGGGGGATCTAACTAGTGCTGAAGTGGCTGCTGCTGTCTTGGTACTGTGCTCTAACCCTCTACGCCACCAGGGAGGGCCCTAGAGTCCTTTTTCTTTATTGTCCTTGTCTAGGAATGTCTTGTTGCCCCCAGTCCTGGGGTGTTTGATTAGTCCCCTTTTAAATTTGTTGCCCTTATCTCTGGAGCCTCCCCTAACTCTTCTGAGGCTTTTTCTATTCTATTCTGACCCTAAGGGCTCTCCCCTTGTCCTATACCTCATTTCTACTAAACTGATTAGTACAAACCAGTGATTGCCTACAATCTCCAAATACCTATTTCTGGTCTGCACCTCACCTATAGGATACAGTCTTTTTTATTTTAAAGATTAAATTTTTTTTTGTTTATTTACATACAAAAACTGTGATATTGACCAAAGGGGGGAGGAGGGGGGACAGATGTGTGTGTGAAAGAATTCACCAGAGAAAGAGTAGAGAGCACAACTGGTAGATCTACTGCTGAGGGAAGCAGCAGGCAAGACGGGAGAGGTCTACTGCACCATATGTGGATCAGCTCCCTGGCCTGGGATGGAACTCAGGCAGTAGTGGCTGGCAATAAGTTGATAGCACTGAGTCTTCAACCCCCCAGTTACTTTCTTTTAGTAGTTGTGATACTTGCTATAGCAGTTCGTACCTACGGATTTTTCCATTTCTATAGTTTGGTTTTAAAACTATGTTAATCGTTTCTACCCCCCACCCCCAACCCCACACACCTCCAATTTCTGGGCTCATGCTGCCTCCATCATTTGGGACTTACTTTAAAAAAAAAGAAGTGGTTGTCTAATTAAAAGAAAAAAAAGTAATGGATATGAATAAACTAATAAATTGCCAAAACAGACACAGAAAAAAAAAAGTGGCTGTTGTCAGTTTTAAACAAGTGATTACAAAAGTTTCATTTAAGCACTGGCAGTGGTGACTACACTCTCAACTCCTAACTCAAAACTCATAGTAATAATTTTCTGAACAATCTCAGCAGGACTGTGCAAGATAATGAGTCCCTTCTGATTCCTCTGAAAAAGATCTCACGTCTTAAAACTTTCACCAGTTTTTGAGTCTTGATAGGCATGTGAATTGGTCCTCTCACTTTGAAATTCCTTTGCCCCTCCGATCAAGTCGGCACACCCCTCCAAAGATTTTACATTGCTGTTGCTTAAACTAATTATAATTTGGTGAACCCCACCTCTGCATTCACGGTGCCTTTCAGTATCTTTAAAAGCTAAAGCTTCTGTTCAGCTTTCTGACTGTGGGCGAGAGACCAGCAGTCGGGAGTACAAGCTGGCAAGAGGTGAGCTCCGCTGCACCTGTGTGACCTGTCTTTCGCAAAAAGCAGGATTTATTCATTCACTCTTGCAAGGAGAAAGCATCACTGAGAAACGTTAAAATAAGGATCCTTTAATAGATGATCCCCCAATCCTCCAACAGGAGATAATAATTCATAGATGCATAAGCTACTTGTTACTTTTTAAACTTTTCCAAATACTTTATACTCGTTCATGTCATACAGTGCCACAGGGGAAAGTGTTATTGCCACCATTTTACAGAGAGAAAAAAATGGGCACTCCGGTTAATTTTTATCATAGTCACACTGAGTAAATAAGAAAAGTTCAACGCACTCATTAAAAGTCAACTCACCCGGCGCTAGCCAAAGGTGACGCAGAAAGGACCGGAAGTGCCTCTGCCCCTAATTAGCATGGCGAACAGGTGATTTCCGTTCTCCTCTCCAATAACTGGACTCCACGATTTCTCGCGATGTTACCAAATGGCACGAACTTAGTAAACTCCCTTCTGCCTTCCGGAAGGCGGGGCTACAAGGAGGTGCTTCGTGGTGATTGGTTACGATTTCTTGGACCGTGACTACGGGGAGTTAGACGGTCCACACCGGGCAGTGATTGGTGGCTGAGGGGCGCGGCGGCTCGACCGCTTAAGAGGTGGCGGCATCCGCGAGGAGAGCCATGGGTCAAGCCGCCAAGGTGACAGGGCCCTTGAAGGGGGTGGGTGTGATGCTTACGGGGAAAGCAGAAGCGCGGCATTGACGAACGTTGTCAAGAGTCTCTGCTGAGGTTCAGCACCCTCCACGAAGGTGGTTTGTGGTAGCTCCCGAGGAGTCAGTGACCACCCGTGGAAGGTGTTGAAGGGTTTTGTGTACATGCGGAGATGGGAGGGAGGCACTCTTAGTCTGCCCGGCTGCTCAGGGCTTTATGGTGACGGAAAGCCATTACTTGAATTCTTTAAACATTTTATCTTCAGTCTGGGTATTTGCCTGAAGGACCCGTTTCCTTTTATTCTCCCCAAAGATATATTTATGCGTGCAGCAATTGGGATACCGGCTGGACGTTCAGGGGGTGAGAGGATTCACCAGAGACAGTGAGGAACAGAACAGGCTGACTGAAATACACTGCTGAGGGGAACAGCAGGCAAGACTAGAAAAGTCTGCTGTGCCATGTGTGTATCTCCCTGACCAGGGATCGAGCTCATGTGCTGCAGTGGCTGCGGATAGCTTCTTAGTGCTGAGGCTCAACCCCTTCCACCACTAGGGAGGGCCTGAAGGCCCATTTTTGCATAGCTTGGTAAGGGGACAAAATGCCTTGGGCTGTCCTAAGCTAAAACCTTACAGTGAGGTGAAAGTTTAGTAACAAGATGCACAGGAATCTGAAATCTAAGAAAATTTAGTCCTGGTAAAGTCACCAGCCAAAAGTAATAGAGAAAGAGCAAAGTCCCGTCAAACCTGCATGCTTTGGATGAGACTGGGAAGTGATCAACCCACCCAGGTGACATACCTGAGGATTTGTCCTCAGACTGATGCACTTTCCTGGCCAGTGTGCAGTTGTCAGGGACCAGTCCTCCCTAACCTTAAATATCATCAGCATGGCCCTTTCAGACCCCTCACTGTAACTGACTGAGACATCGGCTATGGATGGGGGAAAGGTGTGAGGAAAAACTATGCTTAAGGTCTTGCTTCGTTTATTACTGAACTGATCTGAGTACATTTTAATGTCACAGCACCAACATAAATGAAATTATAAAGGATTGTTCATTTAAAAAGTTTGAGTGTCCTTAAGAGCTGTACTATTCAACAACCAACCTTTTGTCTGTACTGTCGAAGCATAATGACTATAGTACTAAACAGACCATCTTTGTAGTGAAATCTAGCGGTGGGGAGATTTTAAACAAAAGTACAGTTGACCCTTGAATAAAGTGGGGTATGGGATGGGTTCAGCCAACATAGTCTTGTATATAACTTTTGACTCCCTAAAATTTTAACTACAACCATTCCTTGGATTCACTTCAGCACCACCACTCCCCCTGGTCCTATGTTAAAATCAGCAGGTGATTATATGATGCCCTGTATATGCATTTACAGATTCAGCAATCCGGTAGCTAAGGGTGGTTAAATTTGTGAAATTTGAAACCTGGGGTGTAAGTGAACCTCTGGCGTTGCTCAAGATTACCTAATCACAAATGTAGTAAGTGTTTTGAATAGAAAATAGTTTGTTTTGTGAACATATAAGTGAAATTTAGTCTATCTGAATGGGTGCAAAAAAAATCTTAATCTTAAAAGTTGAGATTGATTCCAAGTTTGATTAAAAATTATTTATCAAAAAAAAAAGATGTAGAAAGCCCTTGAAGTGGGAAGGTGCTCGGAAATGAAGTTTTATAGGATTTCTTCCCCAAATGCTTGCAAGATCTACCATATGTAGAAGTTATCTGTGTTAAATATGACTATATGGAGGTGACAGGAAGCCTTTGAGAACCAGCTAGTAAACATTTAATTAATACATAGTTTAAGTGCCCAGAAGTAGTCAGAAGTAAAGTGGTATCTTGTTGAGGTTTATAATTTTTCACTATCAATTACTTTGAGTATCTTTTCATGGCCTTCTAGGTCTTTCTGTTTGTTTGTTTTAATTTACTTATTCATTCATATAGAACTGGGGTATAGGCCAGAGGTGCAAGGGTGTAAGAAGATTCATCAGAGACAGAGCGGGGC